TGATGTGTTTGTTTCATGTTAGCTTTCTTAGATGTTGTCAGCTGTTGTTAAGTTTTGTACACCTAACAGCAAAGATGGTATTAATGGTATTAATGAAAACAGACACAGTATGGGAAGAGGGCATTTACTGAATTTAGAAGTTGATCCAGATGCCCTTTCACTGTTAGATGGATTTTATTATAAAAAAATCTATCTTTTTGATTTGGAGTCACCCACCAAAACCAGTCCTTGGCTCAGATGGATGTTTGACTTAAGTTCTGATGTTCTCTTTTTCTTCTTTTTAAACTAAAAAACCCCTTAACTTTAAAAAAAATGATACAGTATTTGCAGAATCAATAGAAAAGCTGACCCAGATAAAAGTGCGCAAAAATTGGTTTCATGCCCTAGAACTTTTCCTGCATGCTTTTTGATGCAATGTATCTGATCCTTCAAAAAGGAGGTAACATACAGTGATCTCAGTAGCTTTGAAGAATTGTTCTGGAAGAATAACAAGGAGTACTGGAGAAAGGGGTGTGCGCTTGTCTGGTTTTCTCCCCCTCATTAAATATATCATGAGACAGAAGAAATTTAATGTCATGTTGCTGGTTATGTGGAAGGATAAGATAAATTTTGTATGAAATCTGATTTTGTCTGATTTTTAAAAGGTGAAAGTACATTTCTCCTCAACAGTCTTCACAGCAAGATGTGAATTGCACTTTATCTCCTTGGTTCAAACCTGCTTCTGCTGGAGTGAGTGGTAAAGGTGTATTCAAGTAGTAGCAAGGTTCTCTCTCAGAAATGTAATTATATCCTCAATCCTGAATCAGGAAGAAACCTGTAAAAAGTATCTGGTGCTCCAGATATATTCCAGTAAAATCATAGAAGGATTTGGATTGGAAGGGACCTTAAAGATCATCTCGTTCCACCTCCCCTGCCGTGGGCAGGGACAGCTCCCACTTCAGTCACCCAGAAGCCTCCCCTTCTCCAGGCTGAACAATCCCAATTCTCTCATCCTTTCCTCACTGGAGAGGTGCTCTATCCTTCTTAGCATCTTTGTGACATCCTCTGGACTCACTTGAACAGTTTGATGTCCTCTCTGTGTCGAGGGCTCCAGAGCTGGACACAGCTAGGGTCTCACCAAAGCAGAGTAGAATGGCAGAATTACTCCCCTGAACCTGCTGCCCACAGGGCTTTTGATGCAACCCAGGATGTTTTGTCTTCCTGGGTTGCAAACACACATTGCTGGAACATGTCCAGTGTCTCATCCAGCAGCACCCCCAAGTCTCAGCAGGGCTACTCTCAGCCTGTTCATCCCCTGGCCTGGATTGATACTGGGGGTTGCAGAACCTTGCACTTGATCGTGTTAAACCTCATGAGATTCCCATGGGCCCACTTTGCAAACTAAGGCAGAGCCAAACCTTAAATTTATTTCAGTACAGCACTTAGATCTGAAGGAATCACACATTCAGTGAGCCTCTGTTGCTTTGGTTTCCAAAGACATCCCAGGCTGTTCAGGGCTGTGTACCCAGACACATAACAAATTACTGTTCAATACAGACATAAGTACAGTGAAGGTGATAAATTGATAGGATAAATTTGTGGGACAGCAAGACTGACAGGCTGTAGGAGGGTTTTGTTCCAGCCCTTTGTATTCTTGGCCTTAAAAGTTAAAGTCTAGCTGGAGGGGAAGGATGGGCCCAAAGTTACTGATTCTTAACAGAATAAGCAGATTAATTGCCCGGGCTGTGTTGTCTATCCCCAGGATAGGGAGAAAAGGCCACAAAAGCAAGTTCTTTATGGGGATTTCTACCACCCTTCCCAGTCCTTGGGGTCAGTCACTTTTTTTAAGGCCTGGTGTAAGCAGACTTTCCCCTGTTGGCTCCATTTACTGGAGCATGGGGAAATTGAAATGACAGGGCTGGGGCTGTGCAGCTGGGAGAAGTGCAGCAGGCAGGAGCCTGCCCTGGGAGATGCTCCCATCAAACAGGAGCTCCAGGAGTTCACAGTGGTGAGAGCAGCTGAAGCTCAGGACCAAGCAGGAATGTATAGCAACATATAAGGGACTCTGGGCAACCTTTCCTGCAGCCTGTTTGTGGCTCTGTTTACTTGTAGCTGACCCAGGTACCTCTCACTGAACTTCCCAGGTATAGGGACATGGACTCTCTTACTAAAAACGAGAAACTCAGTAGCACCTAACAGTGCTGCTCTTCATGAGCAAATGAAGCACAGACACAATTACTTGGGAGGAGCAAAGTGATCTTCTGCTTTATGTTTATATTCTGTGCTCATTTCATTTCTTGCACCACTTTTGCTCCGATGGCTGCCGTGTTCGGCGGAATTTGCAAACACATCGGTGCTTTCAGCCAGAAGTAGGCATGATCTAAACAGCTGGGAAAGGGAAACCCCATCCTCTTGTATTTATTTTTATGGCAGCAAAATGTAGTCATTGTCTGGTCTTGATCAGTCTTGTTTTTTTCCCTTTTGTTTGTTTGTTTGTTTTTTTCTTTTCAGCTTGAGGGTTGAGGAAAACAAAAGAGGGAATTAATAAAGAGCAAGGGAAAAGAGTGATTGCTGCTGGGCTCTGTCATGTGGTGAGGAAATCAGGCTGAAACTGGAGAGACCAGGCCAGACCTAACAGTCATACTGGGAGGCCTTGAACTGTGTCACTCCGACAGTGGATCTAAACAGTGGCAATAGCTGGTGATGTTTCTGGCTGCAGTCTGGCATCATCCATATGTGAAGCTGTGCTGATGGGTTGCTGCTCACAGCACTTTCCTCACCTGCCTGCTCTTACAGACAGCCTCGGATGATGACCCCTATCCTTCCCAAATTGGCAGATCCATTTACTGTGGGGACTGGTGTATGGAAGCATGTTTTTCTGTTGTGTTCAGTTCTCTCTTTGGTTTTTCCTATTCTTAACACTGCTGTTGTTATGAGCTTGGGTATTTGGTGGGTAGTGGAAGGAGTGTGTGATTTTTGGCTCTGTCCCCAGTGTACAGCTTACATGATGTATCTCCATCAAATTTGGATGACACCTGGGTGGATCTAACAGAGACTGCAACACTACAGGCATGAGGAAGAGTGGCTGGAAGGTTGCCCAGAGGAAAAGGCCCTGGGGGTGCTGGTCAATAGTGGCTGAACATGAGGCAGTGTGTGCCCAGGTGGCCAAGAAGGACAATGGCATCCTGGCCTGGATCAGGAACAGTGTGGCCAGCAGGACCAAGGCAGAGATTGACCCCCTGTGCTGGTGAGGTCACACCTCGAGTGCTGTGTCCAGTTCTGGGCCCCTCACTACAAGAAGGACACTGAGGGGCTGGAGTGTGTCCAGAGAAGGGCAATGGAGCTGGGGAGGGTCTGGAGCACAGATGTGATGAGGAGCAGCTGAGGGATCTGGAGGTGTTTAGCCTGGAGAAAAGGAGGCTCAGGGGAGACCTTACCCTCTCTACAACTCCCTGAAAGGAGGCTGAAAGGAGCCAGGTGGGGTTTGCTCTCTTCTCCCACGTAACAAGTGATAGGATCAGAGGAAGTGGCCTCAAGTTGTACCAGGGGAGATTTAGATGGGATATTAGCAAACAGTTTTTCACAGAAAGGGTGGTGAGGCGCTGAAACAGGCTGTCCAGTGAAGTTCCCATCCCTGGAGGTATTTAAAAACATGTAGATGTGATACTTAGGAAAGTGGTTTAGTGGTTGACTTGGCATAAAGGTTCTATCCAACATAAATGATTCTGTGATTATATAAGGGGAACATCCCATGGTGTTGAAAATTAATTAGCAAGTTAACAGTCCACAGCTTGGTTGTTTAAAAAATTATTGCTGTGCATATGTTGGGCAGAAAAAGTGTCCAACAACAGTGCAGCAACCACTGTGCTGGAAAACAGTTCTCAGTCATAGCCCTTGCAGAGGAGGGGTCTGACAACTGTTTTCCAACACCTTTATTACTATGGGCATGTAGGTAACTAACCAGAGGGTGACAGTCAGAAATGCAAGGGTTAAGAGGAATAATGTGAAATAGTTTAACGTTACTAAAAGCCAAATAAATTAACAACAAACTTATTCTTAGCAAGAACCCTACAGGACATCACTCTCTGGCTGAATTTTCTTACACGATCAAATGTTCTTCTCCTTGCTCTAAACCCCTTGCTGCCAATTTAAAATAGTATGAGACTGAGATTTCTCACCCTTCAAGAAAACACTTTGATTTGTTGAAGGGAGTTAGGAACAGTTAAGGAGATAGGAAAGAAACTAATATACCTTTCTCTGTGCTGACATCTGCAACTGGGGGATGTGTTGAAAAGTAAATATAATCTGCTTTGAGCAATGCTTTCCCATTCTCTTTCATTCTGGTTCAGTGCTCTAGTTCCCAATGAACTAGACTTAGTGCTGCAAAGTGAAGTGCAGAAAGGCTGTAGGACCTCTGTGAAGAAATGGGTGGCATCTTCCCATGTTGGGGCTCTGGAGTTAGTGTTGTTTTTCATTTGCAAATTTTTCAAGAGAGCACTGAGGTGAGCAGTGGCAGGATCACTGTCTGTCTGTCTGTCCAGTGCCAGGGAAGCCAGGCCAGGACCCTTGCCAGCCCCTGTCTCACCTTGTAGCCAAGGCCAACTGCAGCTGCTGCCAGCAACATGGATGGACACAAGCTGGCCCTGAGCTGCCTGTGCCCGAGGAGTTGGAGCAGTCCCCTGGGGGTGGCAGTCAGGCAAAGGTGGCCTTGGTGGCTGCCCAGCCTGCCTGGCTCATCCACTTCCCTGGAGTATCATGCTCCTGCTTCTCCCTAGAGGGATATCAGTTTCAACCTGGCAGAGAACATACTTTCTGAAATCTTCTAAACCTCTGAGAGAGGAGGAATCGTTTCTGGGACGATGCTGCACAGTGTAAATGTGCTAAAACAATGGGATTTTTCCTATTCTTTTTTTTCCTTTTTTTTTTTTTTTTTTTTTTTTTTTTTTTTTGGCAGCTGATTTGGTTTTAGATCTTATTTACTCTTTATTTTGTTATTTTCTCTTTACTTATTATTTTATCTTAATATTTTCAAAAGCAGCTCGTAATATGACAAAAGCATTGCAAAGAGGGATTTGGTCTTTTCCTGTAGTTTATAGAAATTTTCCTGGAGGAAGCTAAGTCTGGAGATCTGCAGCAGAGTGGAGCCTTGGCTTGACTGTCTGGGACAGCTTCTGCTCACAGATCCCTGAAAAGTGTGCAGCGTGGATAAGGGTCTTGTGCGAGTGGTTGTCACACTAATGAGGTGGAGAAGATGACTCTTGGCAGGGGCCTCCTCCGTGTTTTCCAGGTCAGCACCAGTGGTTTTCCAGGGGAGCTCAGGAGCTGCCAGCAGCAGCTGCTCTGGGGTGGAAATACCCCTCTCTTTAAGCTTTGTTCAAAAGGCTGGAGAAGGACAGCTGATGCTGAGCAGGACAGGGATAAGACCTCTGGGGATGGAGTGCTGTGGGAGATACCCCATGGTCTGTCCAAGCATCACTGTCCACACAGTGTGTGTGCACTTAGAGACCTCAGAGCACTTTAGAGGTTTTTAGTGGCTTTTTCACCGCATGTTTAGGGTTTTGATGTAAACTTTCAGTTGTATTCTGTCTGTTGTAGGAATGGGGGGAGGAATGGGTTATTTTTAATAGCTTTACAAAAAGGTGTCGAAGGCAAGGATGTTCATGAGCATGTTAGTCCATGGTGCTGTGGTCTGCTAGGCTTGGTGAATGTTTAACGAGGACTGGACCAGCAGCCAGGAGCTGTTTGGGCTCTTGGGATCTGTTGGGATAACTGTGATTTTCAGTGTGTGGAGACAGACGACTTTCAAGAACATTTGTATCTGCTAATCATGCTATAATAACAGTCTGCAGTTGAGAGGCTGCAAACCCCCCATTTCCAACACAGCTGTGCATATTTAATTTGATAGAAGGCATTTCTAGACTGCTGTTAGAAGTAATTCAGAGCGCTAAGGTGGTAATTTTGATCATGGTGTTTTTTAGGGAAATATAGGTGTAAGCTACACTGAAAAGTTAATAAATGCCTAGTATGATACAAACACCAGGGAGTGAGGAGCAGGGACATGGTGTGTGTCTGCCAGCGCCCCACCCTGCATCCTGGGCTTGCTGTATTCCTGCCTTGCTGAGCCAGCAGCAAAGGAAAGCAACATCCTGGGCACGTTAGCTTGGTGAAGGAAGTTCTTCCTGACCTGTTGCCTGTACCACCAATTTGGGGCATTGGGGCAGTCAGGCCATTTGATGGATCAGCAGTGCTGTGGGAGCTGGCATGACCTGCTCCATGGGGATGCTTTCAGCTGACCACAGGATTTAAACCACCAAACTGGCATCTTCAGGAAAAGAAGTCAGGAGGAGTGTGTGGTTTATTTTCCTTCATCTCAAGCATAGCCTAGGAAAGCAAGTGCTTTCAGGGCTTACAATGCAGTTTCTCTCTATAAAATATGCTTTTGCAAAATTGATAGTTTCTGTAGGTTGAGAGAGTCTCAAAGGAACTTTTCTGTCAAGCATCTAAAACGTACCATTATTTTTCTTCCCTGTTTTAACAGCAGCTTGAGATTTACCTTTTAGCTCTCTGAAGAAATCTCGAAAATCTCTCTTTTTTGTAAAAAACTCCATGGTGAATAAAGCAAAATAATCCCATTTTCAGGTGGTTTGTGCTTTAGTGTTTGGGTTGCAGAAACCATGTGGAGTGCTGCTGTTTATAAAGTACGTAAAAGCCTTTTTGTTTATTTTGTTTTGTTTTGCCATGAGATGTTTTTTTGGAAAGAATCTAGAATGATGAAGCAGCTGGTGGCTGAGTCTCCTGCTCAGTGTGCAGAGAATGAAGATTGGCTGGGATAGCTGGAGTTATTCACTGCATGCTGTGGGCCACGTAAACACACAAACAGGCAATTCTTGTTCACCAGGAGGTGTGTGGTAACTCAGAAAGCACCATTAACTGTTCTGTACGTGTACTCACCATGACACCACATATGGGAGGCAGCAGATACAGATCTCCCCAGCTCCTGTCCATTACTCTGTGGGTGTTGGTGTGGCACAGCCCATGTGGGTGAAATGATGATGGCTGTAGGAATGTCTCCTGTGCAGAGGGGAGGTCTGCTGTGAATTTGCCCAATCCCAACATTGCAATGCATTTCAGGGAAGTGGTGTTTTCATGGCAAGGAAAGCTGCTTCTCCTGCCTTGTGCTGCCTTGGAATAAGCATGTCCCCATGGGAGGCTGTTCAAGAGCTGCCTACGGCAGGGATGCTCAAGACAAACAAACTCAGGCAAGAGTTTTCAATAGTAATTACCTACCTGTTGAAAAAAGTTGATGTTTCTATATGAAACATGTTTGTGACTCCTTCAATTCACTGTTGCCTAACTCTTAAGCATTCAAAAGCAGTAGCAGATCTCCCAGAACTGTGAAATAGTTTGAAAGATCTGAAATATGTATGTGTGTGTATATATATATATATATACATACACATATATTACCAACTTGTTTCTGAGCTGTTATATTAAACCCAAATCATATTCTCATAGCCACAAGGGGTAGAAACTTTTTGCATACTTTCTGAAGAGGATCATGCAGTACAATTACAACAGCAAGGGACTGGATGTAATAACCCTGAAGATTTCCTTCTGCTTTATGTTTCCAAAAGTGGAGAAGATCCTTGCAGAAGCTTCACCAGCTGGGTCTTTAGGAGAAGTACCAAAAATTATGATGGTCAGTATACAGTCCCAAGAAGCAACAGCACCATGCACATATATATTTATTTTACTTAACATTCTAAGCAGAGGTTTGAGATCATGGAAGGACAGGGCTGTGTTGCATTGTAGGTGATTTTGTTGTTCTTTAGAAGTGTTTTATCCATAGGTTTGGATTTAGTTCTGCTGGCAAAACACATGCTTTTGTGTGTTGGACACAGCACTGAAAAAGCAGGATTTCAGATAGCAGTTTTAGTAAAATATAACTGGAGTAAACCCATTAAATACAGAAACAGCTTCATCCTAAGCCTACCATGTGAGAATGAAGAATTTGACCCGAAAGAGGGAGGAAGTGCAGCAGAAGGTGGCCTGCTGGGTCCCAAAGTGCTGGAGGTATAAATAGCACAAAATCTGCAGCTATCCCATGTGTTTTATTTCACTTTTACAATTCAGTGAAACTAGCATTTTTTTGCCTTACTCTTAGATGGAGCAAAGCGGGAAGCAGTTTCCCTTTTATCTGTGAATAAACATGCAGCTTTTTCTAGCCTAAGCTCTTAAAATATGGTTATGGTTGTGTAATAGCTTCTGGCTTCCCAGCTCCTCCAGTAGCCAGTGTGCTCTTTCAGGAAATCAAGTCATATATTCCTTTGAAAAGATCCCAAAAAATATCAAGCTAACCTGCTGGGAAGCAGCAAAAGACTCCAAGTGATTTCTTTTGGGTTTGTCAGCTGACCTTCCTCAGGCCAGATAAGAGGAGTCTGGAGTTTCAAACCCAAATACTTCAGCTTGAGCTGGAAGTGCAGGTTGTGCTCACAGTCCTGCTAAAGCAATCAATAAGCTTCTGCCTCATTTCCTGGGGGGCTTGTGGGGTGGTTTTCTGTTTGTATTTCTTTTACTCAGAGCAGTCCCTTGGCTGTTTATTATCTCTTTAGCCTTTCTTGCAGACCTGCAGGCACAGTGTTTTTTAGATGTGTATACAGCCAGTGCCAAAGGGGAATATTTTTCTGTTCAGTTCTGCTCTTGCAGCTGTTGAAGCTAAACCTTCCTCTCCTGTTTTTCCAGTGGGGGGAGAAGAGGAAAGCAGTTGAGACCTTTTAAGGAGGCAAAGGACAATTTTGATGGTATTTTGTAGAAGTTCCCAATAGATAAAGAGTTTATTCTGGAACATGACAGCTGCAGCAGATGTTTTGTGGGTATTTCTAGTGCAAACCATGGTGGTGGTATCTTAGGACATCAGTGTGAGTGCTCTTCACTGTCTGCCTGGCCTAAGAAATGTGGATTTCTGCCCCCCCCCAAGAGGCTCCCAAGATTCATCATGTTACTGTAAAAGGGCTATAGGACCAAATCTTTCAAATTGCTTGTCAGTAGTGGTCAGTGGAAAAGGGAATTGCTGGAATTCCTGCTGGCATTCCTGGTGCTGGTGAAAAAAACTAAATTACCAGTCTTTAAGGGGAACAGGTGACTGCTATTTTCTTCTATTTTATTTTTCTCCCTGACTTACATGTTTTTTTCCACTTTTGTAGGTATCAGAAGTACTGCTCACCTTCTGAGAGATTCCCAGGATGTAAGCAATCAAGTGTTGTGAGTAGCCTTTTCTTTCCATTTTCCTTTACATGAGAAATCCTAGCTTGCCTAAAGAGAAGGAGAATCTTGTAATTTATTTTTTTTAAAGACATTTCAAGAAATGTTTACAGCAAGCAAATCCAGTCTTTTGGAACCAGTTGAGTGCCTTTGGCACCTCTCTGCAACCCACAAAATAAAGTTACCATTGTATTACCACATAGGCTGAATAATTATCTCACTACAGATATAAACCACATGAATGCATTTAACTGAGAATATGGTCAGCAGAATGGACCATTAGCACCATCTGAAGCTTGTTTGTTGTTTCCAGGCTTTACCAGCTATGGAAAGACAGAATCTTGCTGAAGAGCTGAGGCATTCCTTGGAAAGTGAGTTTGCATCTTTTGCAAGGGAAAAAAGGACAGCTTGGCTGTGAGATTGTTTTTGTATGTATGGACAGCACCCCATCTTGTCATCAGAATAGGAAACTATCCAATATTTGGGTCTTCACTCATGTGATAAAATCACTTTAAAGGAAGTTTTATATCACAAGAGATACCTGAACATTTGTTTCAAAGCAGCTTAGAAGCAGCTTAGCCAGGAGCTTCTTTTTATATATATATATATAAAAAAACCAAAAAAACAACAAACCTGAAAGTATATATTTGAAGAGCAGCTGCCCTACAGCCTTTTCCTATGCATTGCAAAGGGTACAGCCTGGGATTTCCCAGCAGCTATGGCTAGTCTGCAGCTCTCCAGGTGGGCCAGACAGTGCTGTGCTAAAGAACCTCAGGAAGTCCTGGTTCAAGCCTTTGTCTGTGTACCGGCCACAGTGTGGGCTCCTGAGTTACTCTGCTGTGAGGCTGGATAATGGCTCAAATTTGGATGCTGTTGCTCTGGGCTTCATTGCTTTCTGTAAGTAAATTTTATTAGCAGAGGGCCTGAATAAGGGTGTTTTCTGAGGATTTTATAATCAGGTCAACTCCTGTCCTGTTTTTTCCCTGTTCTGTGGTGATGGCAATCTGTGGTTACTTGGACATCAGCAGAGTTTTGTTTCAGTTTTCATTTCAGTGGCTTAAGCCTGTTTTCTGTTAAAACAACCAAAATCTATTTGGGATAGAGTGGAATTAAATCCCAAATTAAAATCAGCTTAAAAAAGAAAGGGTTGGTTTTGTTAAAGGAGAAAAACTGAGTTCATCCATGTTTGGTAAAGGTATGGTGAAAATTCCCTAATAACCACCTATCAAGCATTCAGAAACTGGTAAGCAGAAAAATTGAATCCTTCTTTCAGCCTTTTGGGAAGGCTGCTGGCAATGAGTGCAGTTACTGGAGAAAAAAGGTATTGATCTCCCTCAGTAAGGTCCATGGTTCTTATTCTTCCTTCGAATCACAAATGGTTTCTTCTATCTCCTTGGTATTTAGACTGTCACACAAGACCTGCTAATTGTCACACCCACCCTGCTGGGGGGCTTGTTTTTTGTGAGTCACTTACAAAGCATTGCACAGGGTGGGCTCTGGCCTCTGCTTTTAACAACTATGTTGGCTTCAGAGTGATGAATAGATACCAATTTAAGTGAACAAAATTCAGCAGAAGTATACCACGTGTATATATTGTGTCTCTCAAAGTATATCCACATCCTAGAAAAGCTCCTTGCTCATCTCAAAATCAAAACTTGATTGTTTTTCTGTTAGGTAGGCAGTGTTGAAATCTGGGAATCATTTTCTCAGGACCTAATGAATCTACATCCTAATGCACCGCTGTGGTGATTGGTTCCACAGAGGGGTTGAACTTGGGCACATGCTCCTTCTCTTCAGAGGGGGACTTGCTGGTCCCAGGTAGATGTCTATGTCATTAAATCAGAGTAAAACAGCACTGCTGATACAGGCATGTAGTCCACAGGTGCCTCTGATGTATTGCAGCTGTGTTAAGAGAGCATGAGATGGCTGCAGTGGGACCATGCTGACTGAGAAACTTACTCCTGCTCAGAAGATCAGGAAAACCCAGAGCTAGAAAAATTTGGCTCTTTTATGTCTGCTCTCTCTGTCCTCTTGTATTGCCCTGCAAAAACCCTTTCTCCATTTGACCACCAGCAGCTGCAGCTTGCCAGTGGCTGCTCCAGAGGTGCCTGTCCCCTGTGAGGGGTGGCAGTGTGGGTGTCAGCAGTGGCTGGGGTGGCTCTGACTGACATCCTTGCAGAGGGGCCTAGACCAAGAGCTGACACACAGTGTTATATGAGCTGTCAGGGAAAGTGATGGTTTGGGAAGCTCCTGCCACTTCCAGTGGGCCTGGACATTTATGAGCAAGCTGTGAGTGGTGATTGCTTTGCCTATTAGCCTCTAATTCACCATCCCTTTGTAAGGCAGCATCCCTGTCCTGCTATTTAAAAGCAATACTTACTTTATAATGGGCAAAATTCACCTGATGGAGTTTTGTTCTCTGCAAGGCAGAGCCATCTCTTGGAAGGGAACCAAGCCCTGGGAGGATGCAGGGGAGGGGCTCCTTCAGGTTGTATGTGCTTGGGGACAAGCATCCTCAGCTGGCACACGATTGTGTGGTTGCTCTCCCACCCCAGGATGCCCTGTGTCAGGACAGGTTGGTGATCACAGGGTGCCCAGGGCAGGCTGCAGTGTTGGACTGCAAAGACACAGCAGGTCTGGCAGTGGAGCAGGAAGGACAGAGAAGCTGTCCTTTGGGCAAAAGTAGCTTGGAAAAATTAACTCGCTTATGTCAAGGCTTCTGGATGTATAACTTAAAAAATACATACTTGTTGCAGTAAACTGTTCTCTTATCAGATGAGATTTAGATGTGTTTGAGGTTATTTTTGTTTTTTAGAGTTTGAGTAGTGAATTTGCAAACATTTTCTGCAGAGAAAATCACAACAGTGTGTCTTAGGGATGCCAGAACTACATACAGAAACTGCTTTGCCAAATGCAGCAGTGGTGCTGTCTCCTTGCTCTTACATGGGGCAAGAGATTGGGCTGTATCTGTGGCAGCCCTGAAACTGTCACTTGTACTTGTCACCAGCAAAGCCACCTCTCTAAACAGTGCACTCCTCACAAAATCAACGCTCATTCTCCCAGTGCTTGATCAGGTGACTCTGGAAATTTTGGACAGACTGTTTTATTTTTAAGAAGGGGGAAAATACTATTATAACTGAAGGATAAAGCTGTGGAGGAGAAGTTGGTTGGAGAGCAGGCGAAATTTAGTCAGGAAAGATGAGGCTTGGCCAAAAGCCTCCATTACAGTTCCAAGATGAGAAGGGGTGAGAGGATTTCATTCATGTAGCTGCAAATCTGCAGTTCATATTAGAGCCCAGGGCAGGTTTTCCTAAGAGTTGAGGGCGAGGGCTGCCTGGGCTTTGGTGAGGATGGGATTGCTTCTGCCTGGCTCTCCAGCAGCCCCAGTGTGGTTGTCCTTTGGGATCTTGCTCCATACTTCTTGATACTGTCTCCTCTTCCTTTTCCATTAAGTATGATGTCACAAATTACCTCAGTCCAATAACTGCTTGTGGTTGTCATAGCCACAGTGTGTGACACCCAAACAAAGCAGCAGGAAACCGAAGCTGGCATACAGATGCTGTAATATTCATCACATTCCTTTTGGTTAATAACTGTGTGGTTAGGTATTTATTTTCTATTGGGGAAAAAGGAGGAAGGGGGTTTAAAAGCAAAAAGTTGAGTCACTGAGGAGGTGGAAGGTGGTTTGCAACTCCATCTGACCAATGTAGCTACACTTCTCCCTCCCAGTACTCTTCCCCTGAGGTAATACTGCTCTTGCCTCAATTGCTTAACTCCCTTCTGTAGTTGTTCCCATCACTTCAGACCATAGGATGATGCTCCTCATGGACAAGGCAAAGGGAGACATTCCACTGCCTCTAACACGAGCTGTGTCCCCAGGGCAGAGCTTCCCAGAGGCTGGCAGTGAGGGCCAGCAGCAGCAGCCACAGGTCAGGCAGTTTAACTGCTGGATGGCCGAGCCTGCCATTGTTGTTGTGGAGCATGAATAGAGCATAAAAGGGATTTTTTATCTTTTGGGGGCATTAGATGTGATTGAGGGGGTAGTTGTTTGTCGTTCTTTGTTTTGGTTTGTTTCTTTAATCTGTAAAATAAGCTTTTCTGGTTGAGCAGCAGAGCTTGTTTGTCCCTGCAAGATTTAATCACTCCGTCAGTTTTGCACAGTTGGCCTAATAGTAGGAAGGTGCTTGCTACAAAAAATAATATAAAAAAAAATTTAAATAAATTACAGAAATAGATGTGGTATGAGCACTGCATTTCCAAGACAAGCACTGGAGGTAGGTGGTTGGGGCTTGGTGGGAAGGAGCCACCTCAGCCCCTCACCACTGCAGGTACACGGGGAGCTGCCGTCCTTGTGGCCCTTGCCACAGCTTCCCCTTGCCCAGTGCCACCCCCCTTTGTGCCCCCACAGGGACCCACTGACCCTGGGGACTCCAGCATGGCTTTCCCCAAAATATCTGGGCATGTGATTCCTGGGCTGAGCTGAGGTAACTCCCCAGGCCTGCCTGTGCTGGGAGCAGGCAGGAGGCACACAGAGAGCAGAGTCCAGCTCTGGATTCAGGCATTCAGTGGCTCCTGCTGGTGCTTGCAGGGAGGTGCTCATTATATAATAGCTGGTGGTTGATTAATATGCTGTGAGTCAGAAGCGCCAGGGTATTTTAGCTTTCTCTAGTTGCTATGGAAACGTTATTTTAACAAATAGCTTTTTAATATTTAATTAAAACTCAGCTTTTGGCAAGCTGGAGTAAGAACTATTACAATTACTACTACAAAGGGTTAGCAATGAAGTGTATTCCAGAGCCACATTTTTTTTTGGTTGAGCCTGTGTCATGTGTCCCCCACTCTGATCTGTCAACTTCAAAAATTATATAAAAAAAAAAAAAATCCAAGTAAAAAATCATTGATTTATTGATCGTGAGAAATGTATTCTTGTTCCTAAGACACAAAGCAAATGTAATGCAAATCTGCAGTTACTCTTCACAATTGAAGGTTGTCACTTCTTTCAATGTACAGTGCCAAGGCAGCCCTGTAAGGATGAAGCAGTGTGATAGCATTTATTAATCGCTGCTGTGTCACTGGTGTTCCTTCTTCTACCTCTGCCTCCTGAATGAGATCATTCCTGTTTTGTTTGCTTCGTGTTCCCTCTGTGTCAGGTTGGATGCTTTTCCTCAGCAGCTTGTGGAGGAGGCTGGTGCTGTGTCCGGATCAGGCTCTGGACAGATTCCTAGTCTTTTTTTAGGTGAGCTCCTCTGCTCCCTGATACCAAGTGATTCTGCAACGAGACAAATGAACAGAGAACTCAGTCTCCAGAGAAAAATAAATATTTAACAGCTCTTTGTAAATAACCTTTATTTATAGAACAGTTGCAGGTTCT